CTTGAAAGAGGGAGAAACAAATGAAGATATCAAGTCAACAAAATGCTGACTGTTCCAGCCACAGTTTGGGTTATCCAGCACACAGCTCTAAAACTAATGCACCTTCCTACTCCTCCATCCCATCGCTTAAAGTGTGGTAGCTCCAAGTAGACAGGGCGATGCAAGTGAAAAAGCAACATCAAAAAGCATAGAGCTGAGGGAAGAGACAGAAATGAGGCCAAGGCAGGAGGAATGAAATGTGTATGGCAAAGGACTAGATGGAGATACAGTTAGAGAAAAATAAGAAGCCCGCAAAGATGAAAAGATAAGCAATGATCTGGATCCACTCTATAGAATCTGGACACAGAAATCTGGCACCTATAAAATATAAAGGACCACTGAAGAATGAAAGTATAGACACACCAGAAAGCAACTAAGGGATAGAAAGGGATGTGAGCAGAGGCAGAGTGTCAGGGTAAGGATGGTCTTTGTGTTCAGAGGGTGGTGATAAGCAGATTTACAGACTTGGAAGGGAAACGGAAGTTTGGGGTCAAAGATGACTGTGAGATTTCTGACATCTATTTTAAGTCTGAGGTCTAGATTACAGAGAGTGTTACCTGAGTCAGAGAGGAGGAACAAAGGGAACTTTTTACACTCAGGATGAACTCCGGTTTTTCAAATCATTCAGTAGCAGGATGTTAAGGAGCAGCCAGCAGCAAACAGAGGGATGTGTTCTTATGTCTGTTACACTCACATAAATCAGGAGTAACACCACAGACTCCATGGAGACACTCCGGATTTATGTCTATGCAACTGGTTTCAGAAATTTGCCCTCTGGGTCAAGACAGACAACTAGATGAAAGGCAAGCAGATGAAAGACTGAGTTAAGGGGAAATATAGAAATAGGCATCAGATAGAATGACATGACATCTAAGGTTACTATCTAATCCCAGGAGGAAAAAGTTAAATAGCAAAGAAGGCAGAGTTCCTCTCCATAAGAGCAAGTATACTGAGTGAGATCAACTATTTATCTAGCCCAGTATTCTGTCTTCTGACAGTGGCCAGTGTCAGATGCTACTGGGAGAATGTGCAGAATAAGGCACTTATCAAGTGATCTATCCCCTGCTGTCCATGCCCAGCATCTGGCAGTCATAAGCTTAGGGACACCCACAGCATGGGGGTGCATCCCTAACCATCAAGTCTATGTGATTCTCCTATGAAGGCAATCTCAGTCACCTTGCACAATTCAACACTCCGCCAATGTCCACCCACCACTCTCATCTAAAATTAGTCATGGTTGCTTGCTGTGATGCCAATCCCTTTGCTGACACAAAGGATTATGAGACTGCAAACAGGACAAGAGATTTCTTAGGTGGTCATGGATAGAGAAAACTTGAAAACTCTGATCTAAAGGACCCACCACAAATGAAAAAAGGTGTGAATTAGGATTCAAACTAGGGGAAGATAATGCGGGAAACACCAGTTTCTTACATGAGACACTCAAGAGGAGAAAACAACTGTTAGTAAAGAAAGCTGCACTAGGGTCAAACAGGAAGTGAAAAGAGAGGAACCTATGATCCATAGTCAAAGGCAAGGTCATTAACCACCCACAGGGGGTCAATCTTGGTAGCTGGAAAAGGTCAAAAGCCAGGCACAAAGTGGCTAGGGAAGTGGTACTGGGAGAGATGGTCATAGGCTGAAGGAGGTTACTGTGCTCAGACAGGGCAAATGTTGATAGGAACGAGTAGGTTTTACCTGAACTGGATGTTTTGTGTGAGAAAGGGAAAAGAAATCAAGTGACACAGGAGTGGTTGATGATAGCTCTGAAGTAAAGAGCAAGAATATGAGACAACAAACAGAGTAGGAAAGAAGTCCAACAAAAAAGGACTTTTCTTCATAGGCAAGAACAATTATGAGGAGAGCAGCGGAGAAAGGGAAATATAACAAAAATGTGGCACTGATTGTAAAACAAATAATAATTTCCACAGTGATACCAGATTGCCACAAATTGTTGTGAAAAAGTTATTATATTCACTCTTTAGGAATCAAACAAATACGTAGCCTCACTGCGATTTCAAGACTGGGGGCCTCATTCCCCCTTGATTTACAAGCAAACAGGGGGGACAAAGAAGGTACTCCATTGTCCAAGCCAGCCCCATCAGTGTGCACAGTGATAATTTTTCACAGACTCTCAGGAGCTTATATACATACACTGGGCTTTCCATATATCCTGATGCACAAGGAGCGCTGATCTGTTGTCTGTTCAGGCTTAAGCCAAGGGCATTGTATTCATGATCAAGACCCATGTACAACAGAGCACAGGTAGTGTAGATACACAGTGGAGAAAAGTGCAAAATTGTCAAGGGCTGAGTAAGGGTACGTCCAGACTACATGCCTCCGTCGACGGAGGCATGTAGTCTGGACGTACCCTAAGGCATAGACATATATACATTGATAATTGCTTCTGAGGAAATGGAGTCAACAGACAGAAAAATCATTGAGAGAATGGAGAAGTATCCAGGCTTTCTAACACTAGTTCACAAACTGTGATTGGTGGCCCTCTGCAGTATGAACAATTTTGAGAAGTAAGGAATTGGAGACTGAAGTCTGGGAAAGGGGAGTAGGTCATCCGCCACAAAGTGGCCTGATGAATGAAAACACTGGAGAACCACTCCTTTAGTGGATAGGCACACCAAAGCAGAGGCAGGAACAGGCTGGTTTGAGAAGAACAAAATCCAAAGTGATGAAGGATTGATCATGGATGGCAGAGAAAGCTAGAGCGAGGATGTTGCAACTACTGGATGAGTGGGTAGAAGAGCCTGTGAAATACCAAGAGCTTCCAAGAGAGAAGTCAAAAATGTTAGGAGTAAGCTCCTAATGCTGACACTAGAAGAAATGAAGCCAGTATATACATATCAAATCCTGAAGGAAAGGGTCTATTAGGCCAAAACTGGCTGATAAATTACCAAGAGTGATCCTGCAATCCTTAAGCAATACTCCCATTGAATTCAATGGACGCTTGCTTGAATGGAGGGGCTGACGGCAGTGGAAGGTCAGAAAGGTGAGCTGAGACTTAGGTCTCATGAACACTTAAAACTTAACCTCACATCAGGGGTGTGAAAAATCTAAATGGACCCACATTTTATATGCAGCTTTGTCAGTGGAAAAATGCGTCCATCAACCTAGCTATTGTCACTTGGGCTATACCTAAACTACGGGGGTTTTATGGGATACCAGAGGTATCGTGCACAAACCCCGCAGCATCCAAGGAATGTGTTTGCTCTTCCGCTTTTTTTCGTGGAAGAGCAAACGCGCTCTTTTGGAGAGCCCTGTATTCCTCGTTTCATGAAGCATAAGGGCTCCGCTGAAAGAGTAGACTTTCTTGCCATTTGGATCCATCTAGACTGGGCCAAATGGCAGAAAAGCCTCTTCTGGAAAAGCTATCAGAAAAAGCTACGCAAATTGCGCAGCGCAATTTGTATTGCTTTTTCCAATAGAGCCCCGTAGTCTAGACCTAGCCATAGGGAGATGGAGTCCCCACAGCAATAGGAAAAACCCTTTTTGTCAGCGTAGGCTAGACCTACACTCTAGGGTTATACCAGCATAACTTCTGTATAGCTAGGCTGCTGAAGTTCCCACAATGTAGGCATATCATAAGGAAAGTTGACATGTAGATTCGGCAGTTTCAGGCTTGGGTCACATGTGGGTAGATGGGTGTGTGTGAATCTCAGTGGTTAAAAAGTTAATTAAATGTAAAGCATATACATTTGCATAGTCCATAAAATTGTTATTTAAAGATTAAAATCTTAACATGAAGCAAAATTCACCTGTTGTGCAAAAGACAGTTATCAACTGTCAAATTGTCATTATATAATAATAGCTACTTATATTATGTTTGCACCTGAACTCCCCAGTCTAGATGGCACTGTACTACATGCTGCACAAGTAGATAGGCAGAAATAATCCCTGTTCCAAAAAGCTAACTATACAGTTCCGGCTGTAACATAAATGTTTGCCAGTGAATTGCAATTCTGTCTCTTCCTCAGACTTACTCTAAGTAACTGTACCTGAAACAACAACAGCATGATGCATAATTTTATAGAACACGGTTAAATATTTTAAGGGTCAATGACTAGGTGTTATTTTTTAAATAAAGATTTTTATATCAATTAAAGTTATTAGATGTTGAAGATTTAAATACATATATTTGAAAGACTAATTTAAATTTAATTATTTGAACATTTCCACGGTGTATGTTAAACCTGAAAACAGAAGCAGAAAATATGACTGACCAAAAACACAAAGTGAAAATAAATACCTAGTTTCTTGGTTAACTTGGAGTAAAGTAAAAAGAAAAGGTTTGTGGGGTTTTATTTTAAAGTGTCAGAGAGAGAAAGCAAATTTGATGTTGTTTCCATTCCTTTTCCTTCCATAATCTAGTGGTATCACAGAAACGGCATATATTTACATATACAATATTTTATTTTGGTGGTGTCATTGTAACATGTATATTTGGCAATTTAAAACAGAAAAATCTTTCCCCAGTTCATCTTTTTCTTCATAATACTAAAGAATGAAGTGTCTATAACAATATATGAAAACATTCAGTGCACACACGACTTTAGAAAAAATGTTAACATTCCATCATAACTTCTGGTATTTTTGGATGTACCATCTCTGATCTCAGAAACCACCTATGACCCATTAAAAAGAAACAGATAAATAGACAAATAAATGGTTGTAATATAGCACCTACTGAAGTCAATGGCAAAATTTCCATTGACTTCAATGAGAGCCAGCCACAACTGGTCAACAATGATTTAAATCACTATTGCTGTTCTCCAATGCAAGTCTCAAGACCTAATCCTGGAGTCCTTATGTGAATAGTCCCATAGGCTTCAATGGGCCTTCCTATGTGACCTAGGGATGCAGGACAGGGCCCTTTCTATCACCAGTGGCTGTAATCTAGCCTTCTAAGACCACTAACGCAGGAAGCAGTGACCCAAAACAACCTGTCTTACCTGTGGCACAAAGGGCAATAAAAGTTTGTGCATGTTTCCGGATCAAAAGTAACTTGTCTTTAGGTAGAGGCAGCTTTCTTAGAATATGTTCAATGAAATCGTGTGGCGTCACCGCTGCAAGATTCCACTTCAACTTTCCCAGCACCACCAGCTCCCACTCCTGAGGGGGGGGGGAAAAACAAAACATAGGCAAGCCTGATGAAAAAGGAAAAAAAAAAAGCTTACTCATTTTACAGATTGTAATTATCTCACTGCAAAATTGGTTTTGCTTAAACCTTTTTTTCAGTATGTCTCTGAAGCTTTGAAGTTGTTGACTTTTCTTTTCCTTCATTTTTTTAAATGCTGGAAATGTCAAGCTACGCTGAAAATAATGAGGCCTGGCAGCTCCTGCCAAGATTTTACTATTTTTTGTATCCAACGTTGAATGCCCACCCAGAAAGTTTAGCCTGCAATTAAATATTGCCAAGGTCACTGTGGTCCTTACCTAGTAACTTATTTTAAATGGCTATAGTGCTTAATTTATAGCCATTTAAAGCCCAGTGGATAACTATGCACTAAATAACCAAGACATACATTTTCTTTTTCCATTGGGAAAGTTAGCACCACAGTATTTTCTTTACAATTGTTCTAGAGATCTCCTTTGCTACAAATAGTATTTAATCTATGCCACAGCAAGTTTTGCAGAAGACAAATTCAGAAGATACACACAAAAAGACTGTAAAGACATCTGATAATGTATCACATAGGACCCAACCCAATCCTGCATTCTTTGCACACACAAAACTCCCAGAGAAGTCACAAGTTTTTGGGTGCACAAGGGATGATGGTTGAGGACTTTAAAATGTGATTATACTTAAAAAGCAGTTTATATATATATATATATAGAGAGAGAGAGAGAGAGAGAGAAAGAGAGAGAGAGGGGGGGGGCACCTTTTCACACACCAGATTTGCTCTTTGTGTGCTTTCAGAGATACATAGCCTTCCTTTAGTCTTTAAAATAAGTTTTTCATATATTTTACTGCTATTAGTCCTACAGAGCCATCATAGATCAGAGAGGGAGATGGATTCTACTCCACTTCATGCATTATCAGAATTATTAACTACATTCTGTTTATAGACTCTTCTATTTCAATGATGTATGAGCCTGCAGAAAGCCAACATCACTCTCAGAGTCTGTTGTATAGGGCTGGCAATTTGAGAAAACCATCTTTTTACTTGTGAACTTAGTAGATCTGAACTGGCACCTGTGAGACACAATAAACATGGAGCCCCACAATGGCATTTTTACAGACACTTTTTGGAGCAGAACCCTGTTTTAATAGAAAGCAGCTGTACCAGAAACACTGCTATTGGGATAATACAGAACCCTTCAAAACCTGGAAATCTTCTACTAAAATATTTCCATAAGGGTGACCTGAAACCAATCCTGTGTAACTTCTCAATAAAAAGCATGAAATATTTTCATAAAATGACAAATTCATTAAGGAATGATCTTTATGTAATATTTAGTAATAGACACAGGCCTCACTTCACTCCCCCTGAAATAAAAAGTGCTTAAGCGCTTTCCTGAACTGAGGCCACAATGTTTTATTGCCATAGGTGATACCACAGTATATTAAGCACAGCAACATTTTGGGGGTAAGGCCCTTGCTTCTACATTGATTCTGAAATGTTTCCATAGGCGGAACTCCACTGGCTTCAATGGATGTTTCATATAAGAAGCATCTGTATGAATCCAGGGACAGATCCTACAAAAGAGGATCTGAGATAGCAGAACTATTTGATTGAAATAAGCGATCTTATAAACTAATAATACTTAGCACTCTAAGGCTGTGTCTAGACTACACCTCTCTATCGACAGAGAGATGTAGATTAGGCACGCTGAAATTGCTAATGAGGCAGGGATTTAAATATACCGCTCTTCAAAACGGAGCTTTTACGAAAAAAAACGGCAGTCTAGACATGGATCTGTCAAAAATAAACCCTTTTTTGAAAGATCCTGTATTCCTCAAAATATGAGGTTTACAGGATCTTTCGAAAAAGGGTTTATTTTCGACAGCTCCGTGTCTAGATTGCAGGGGTTTTTTTTGTTGAAAAAGCTCCGTTTCGAAAAAAAGCAGTGGCCATGTTTATGCTAATGAAGCATGGGATATTTAAATTCCTGCCTCACTAGCAATTTCGACGTGCCTAACCTACAACTCTCTGTCGACAGAGAGGTGTAGTCTAGACACAGCCTAAAAGTTCTTTACATCTCTGAAGTGCTCTGCATGTATTATTTCATTAGAAATAATTTACATACAAGTAACTTCTTTCACCTCTCTCACCTTAAGACCTGATCCTGAGCGCCTCATGGAGGCCCTTATTTACAACCATGCATAACAGAGCTGAATGTTGGTCTCACTCTTACTCCTTATTACCACTGGGAACTACATTTACAAAAAAGGCACAAATGCTATCCATGATTTTCTAAGTTACCAATGTATCACTTGTACAGGCAGTTTGTTAATTTCACAATATGAAGCACATCCTTCTGCTCTCACTAGAATCAATGACAATACTCCCACTGACTTCAACAGGTACAGGACTCAACTGTAAATGAAAGAAATTTAGAAACAAGGCTTACTGCATTCAGAGTGAAAAAAGTTTGAAAGCAAATTTTCCAAAGGATGATAAAAATCCTCCAAACATATTTATTTTATTTGGTATGTAACCTGAATAAAACCAAAAGACATAACACATTTGTTTGTTTTTTAAAAGTCCCTCATATTACAGAGAGCTTTAAAACTGAAAGCAGAAAAGAAACTGCAAACAAGAGAGATTCTGGCAATGGTTCAAAGATGAAGTCATTTCCAGTTGTGCATGTCTGCCACTGGATGGCAGTGCAGCACCAGAACACCAGAAAGAAAGCACCTTTATAAAGTAGCCAGCTCAGAAAGTTTCTTGCCCATTTAAACGCATGTACATATATGTATGTGCATGCTACCAAAAATATATCTTCTTCTAAATATGTAAAATGTCTTAAAAACACAAGCAATAACCAAAACCTTCAGATTCTCTCTGGGGGCCTCTGCTAACCATTGTGTTAAATATATAAATAAGGACAAGAATATTAATATTAGGCAATTATATACAGAACATATAAAAGGAATGGGGAAATCTCCCATTCAAAGAATCACACACTATTTTCATAAAGCAAACTTATCTTGATCACTTTCTATCAGTGCTTGGAAATCTTTAACACGTTCAACTTTTCAAATATTGTTTAAGAATGATAAATGGATATGGAAATTGATTATGTGTTGGGCTCTGGAAGGAGGGGGAGGTTGTCAGCACAAGAGCTGATGGTGCAGGGGGAGAGGGGCACACTGAAGGTAGAGTGGGGCTGCTTACCAGCAGCTCTTGGGGTTTGATGGAATTGTCCGTATATATGCAAAGTTTCTCTGCAGTGAGGGGGATTGTCTCTTTCAGCTTGGAGGCCAAGAACATGCAAACTGCCCCCAGCAGCTGCAGATGGCATTTTCTGGTGGGCACCACAGCTAAAAATCTGTCCAAGTAATTCATGGCGAGGGGGAAAACCTCTTCTTCACACTTCTGCTCTTCACAGACCTGCAATGAAGGCGTGGGGATGGGGAGGAAAGCGAGAGAGAGAGAAGAAAATGAGTGATCACATGAAATTGACCAATGGTTCTAAATGATTTTTGTTTTGCGGGGAGCTAGATTGGGGGGAGGGGGCGATCCCAGGAGAGGCTGGGAAGGCTGTCAATCGGCTTTCACATTCCTTTGGTTCATTCAGTAAGAAATGAATTAAGTCACAGTGTGGGAGCCGAAAGCCCATCGAGCTGCAGCAGCCGCCTCAGACTTTGCGACCCAATTTTTCTTGTGTTTTTTTTTCTTCTTGCCTTTTTGGATTTCGTCATATTTTCAATAAATAAATAAAAATATCTACACCACCCCGGGGCCCCCTGGTTTTGGAGCGATGGCATCCCCAGGCGCCCCCCTACCATTCCTTACAATTGTAAAAATCCCCCGGGGGGGGTTCCCCCCGCCCCGAGCCCCGGATTCGGGGGGAACCCCCCGGGGGGGGTTCCCCCAGCCCCGAGCCCGCGATTCGGGTGGGGGGGAGGTGGGGTGGGGAGAGCCTGGAGCCTCAGCAGGAGAAAATTATTTCAAAAAATGATCAAAAATACAGCCCAGGGGGAAAAGGGGCAAATTTCACATGAAAATCAAGAGGACGATCTGGGCTTCCCGGCCTGGGGGGAATGGGCTACCAAGGGTCCCCCCAAAGCCAGATCTTAAGGGAAAATGATGGGGGCCAGGGCAAGGTTGCACAGTCTGTAGGGCTCTGGGCCCACAACCGCCCTTCCAGGGTACGTATTGGGGAGAGGGAGGGATTCCCCGGCTCCTCGGGCTCCCTAGCCTCCCATCAAGCGGGGGGCACAGCGACACGGAGAAGGGGGTGTATTTCAGACCCCTTCTTTTGGGGGGTGGGGAAGCTCCGCACCTCTGAGCAGAGTTGCATGCAAAGCAACATGGCGAAAAAGCGGCACGTCCTGAGCTCTGCATACGTGGGCACCGAAAGACTTGTTGGGCAAAAATCAGGGGGTGATCAGCCCCCCACTATATTTTTACACAACATCTGGGGCAGCTCCCCTCGCTAGAAAAGCCTCAGTCGAGCCGATCCAGCAGTCGGGGAGGGGGGGGAAGAGGAGGGTTTTCTTTTCCTCGTTTTGTAACTGACTTTTGCAACTTTCCTTCTCCCCCATTTTGCACCCCTCTTTGCAAAGCAGCAGCCCCGGAAGGGCAGCTTTCTTCACGGATTCCCACTCAAAATGCCCGAGCCACAGTCATTTAAGAGCCCCTTCTTCCTCCCCCCCGCCCCCCAGCCCCGACAAGAAAGGCACTGAATGGGTTCGCAAAAAGCATGATCTGGAAGGGACCCCGCAGGAAAGGAAGGGACAAAACAAACACGGGAACTTGCAGAAGGGTGAGCTCTGCAGCCACCAGCCCTGTGCAAAGGAGCCCCTTAAAATCCCGAGCTCGGGGCACAGAGGGGAGACAGATAAGCTCTGCCTCTCAGTTTCATACAAACCTCCAACATCCAAGTCGCCACCATCCTCCGCATAAATGGCTGGATGTCCTTCTGGACGCATTTGAAATAGGAACACTGGGGCAGATACCTCTCTTCTATGGTTAGCAAATTGTGCAAAACGCGGTCATCATAGAGCAAGTTCGGGTCAGGCAGAGCTCTCCGCATGGGATCCACCTCGCAGCACAGCAGCTCCATGTTTCCAAAGAGATCTCCCTCTTTCTCGGATGGAAAAGTTTTTTTGGGGGGAGGGGAAGGAGGGGGCAAAGGAGGAGGGATAAGTGGGTGGGAGGCAGACTGCAGGGCTTTCCAGCTCGCTCCTGCTTCCCTTGAAAGTTTTCTCTCCCCCCTCCTTGATTTCTAGCCTAAAGTTGAAGCAAAGTGACGCAACCACTAGGGCAGGCAGTTCTCTTGTTATTATGGAGAACGGCAGCTGGTCACATATAACATCAAACGAGTTTTTTCCCCCTCTATAAGCTAACAAGAAAGCAGGAGGCCCTTGTATAGGGCACACACACACAAAATGACAGCTTCTCTTTCTCTTCCTTACAGCGACCAAACAGAATCGCTCCGGAATTTCTGCTGCACAGAGCAATCTGGATCTACAGAAGTCCCCCCTCCCCCCGATTTTTTAATTGCAAGAACAGAACCGAGTGGCTCATTACATAGCAGCCTGGTTTTTGTGGGGGGTTAACCATGAACGTGCCTTGCTCAGCGGAGCTCCTCCTGCTTCTTCCAGATGATCAGAAGGTTTCGGATACCCCCTCCCCACACATCCTTCCCACCCACTCCCCCGCCCGCAGCCCTCCTGACCTGCAACCAGGAGGAAAACTTTGCTTGCCAACGACAAACTAAGGGCAAACGGGAGCCCTTATAAAAGAAGATTCCAAGGCTGTGTGCTTGCTGGTGCTTGTATATTTTGCAGTATTTTCACGCTGGTAGTTAGAGAGATCTAGCAGTAGCCACAACGCAACTTCCTTGAATATGTCTGTATTTCTGACTAACAGCCACAACTGTTTTAGCACTGCATGGTCACACACACTGATATAGCTTTCTAGGAAATATAATGGGGGGGGGGGGAGGAGGAGGAGAGGGGCGGATTTGCCCCGCACTTGCTCTCTGTGACTTTCACACTTCAGCACTGCATTTTCCTGCTTTATTCTTACTGCTAGCCATTTTTATTGCAATTTTTAATAAATACATGTGATTTCTATTAGGCTTGACTTGCTGTGGTCATTCATGCTTTTGCTTTTTTTGGTCATTATTATTTTAAACAGAGAGTATAACTTTGCTTCCGTGTGTTTTTTAACCTTTCAGAGCACACTTCAAGTCATGGCCACTCCTCCTCTCTGTCTCCCAGCCTATGCAAGGCAGTTTGTGAAATGTGTCAAGTTTGTGAAGTCTCTGCAGCCTTGCTGGAACCGGAGAAGAGAAACTGTATGCTCCTAATGATGGGTTTGCATGAAAAGTAAGGTGGCCAGGCAGAAAATAAAGAGGTGTCAGTCTACGCCTTCTAATCACCTCGTCTGCCCCCCAGTCAAGTGAAGGTGAAGCAGAGAGAAAGAAATATCACTTTAAAAGTATGAGTTAAGAGTTTGGGGAGCTGCTTCCCCCTCCCTCTATTTGCATAGCCAATAGCTCTGGGGCGTTTGCTGCTGCGCGCTGATTGTTACTGGGCAGATTATATTTTAAGGAAGAAGCATTCCTGACTACATCAAAAGAAACCAAGGAGGGGCGGGGGAGAAAAAAAATAAACAAACAACGCACACCCACCCCCTTCTGACTTTATCAACTCGGGAAATCAGTCTCCTATCTACTGTAAAAGTAATTAAAGATCAGTAATAGCTGATTACTCATTTTCAATCTCCCCTCCCAACCAAAGACAAAACAAAAAACCCACCCACCCACAACCCTCAAATTGCAGTTCAAAACGAAACAGTCTGTACTGAGGATGAAACTAGCTTTGCGTTAGTTCAACTGCATGAGGAATAAAGTCACATTTAAAACCAAAACAAGTTTTGGGAGGGATTTTCCCAAACAGCGGATATTTTAGTCAGTGATGTGAACTGTGTGTTTAAAGACAAAAAGGCAATCTGAACCTTTTGTACGGCACATTTGATATTTGCTAATGAGCAGAACCAACACAAGGAGGTGGTGGACACTATTCATTTTCTCTTCCAGCAAAAGTTATCTACCTCCTTCCTCTCTCCCGAAATGCAAATAACTTCTAGCCACACGTGGATCGAGGCGATCTCAAATCCATGCGCCATACAAACGATGGTTTAAATCATTTTTAGCTTCTTAACACGTCCTGTTCTGGAAGTTTTATCAGAAAAGTCCGCAATAGAAAGTAATGGAAACTTATCTGCTTTGCAATAAGTGTATTTTATTACTGGATTTGGGGAAGAAAGGGAGGAACCCCTCATCCATGCATATACATTAAGACCTATGAACCTTAGAGAGCGACATGCTAGACTCTCTCAGACTTTAACTTCCCCCATTCATTTCCCCTTCCTATTGCCTGACTGTTCTAAACATGGAGTGCGTTTTGTCAATGAACCCCATTCCCCCCAAAAAACATAATCTTAGTGGATTCATAAACTCTCATGTCTCACTTTGTAGTCTCAAAAGCAGTTAATTGTGATTGTTTATTATTTGGAAGAAAAAGAGGGAATGGTAAGATATATTTTTTGCATAAGTTAATTGACAAAAGTTTCTTAAGTTTTTAAAAGTTGATAGATTTTCAGTTCGATTGGAGATGCATAGGATAATTGACAAACGTTTCTGAGTTTTAAAATGTGATAGATTTCTAGTTGGATTGGAGATACTACAGTGTAGAAAGTAGGATTCTTAGAGAAAATATGCAGAAATCTCCACCTACAAGGGCATAAACTAAGTGATAATTCCTCCGACTGTATTTACATCTCACACATTTTATAGTCCGTGATGTATATTCATGCAACTTTTATTTTTAAATAAAAACCTGATGCTGGAGCATTTCGAAATCCTGTAAACATTGTGTTGGGTTTTGCAAAATGAAAAGCATGCTGATTGTGCATCCCAAATGTGCCTTTTATCTGCTGAGGTGCTGTGTAAAAAGAGTTGTTCATTCAAAAAGCATTATTATTTTCAGTACCCGTTTTTACCTCCCGACTTCTATTATTTGAAACTCTAACGCCTGTTGGGTTCCCATTTTCCTCTACACAGCATAGAAGGGGCTATTACTTTGATGACTGTAGGTGGCGATGAGTGTTGTAGATGTTGTTCGGTGCTGCATGAAAAATCCTATCATTTTCCGACTGCTTTATGAGTGTATTGGCGATTTCAGAACAAAGGAGCAAAAACAAGTTCTCTCTGAGTTTTGTCCTTATGTCCAGGAGCGCTTCCCTCATAAGGCTATTAAAAAAATACTGCTTAACATTTGGAGACAGCAGATGTTTTAACAGTTTCAATTTAGAGATTAATCGAGTGCCATATGTTGAATACCACCCCCTTCTTCCAAAAAAACTTTTCACTTGCGCTGCCTCTTCTGATGAGCAGTTTTGGCAGTGAAAGAGCATAAATGATTAAACCAAACACTGTATTAAAAAAAAAAAAGCAGACACGCATTATGTTTATGCCAACACCTTGCAAAAATGACAACCGTGTTTGGAAAGGTTGTGTGTGCAGTCTCGTGTGGAAATCGCTCCCTGTAGTGATGCCCCTAAGTGCAGCTGCAGCCCGCACACGCATGCTGGATTTTCGCGGAAATTTAACGTCATCCTGCCAACACACGTTGGAATCATTTTTCCCGGGAAACCAGCGCCTCTCCTGCTGCTGCTGCTCAGTGTCATGCTCTTCCTGAAGCGGTATGCGCTGCACCAGAGGGGGTGCTGTGCTGCTGTTAGCCCTGTTGCAGTGGTTTAAAAGGTAGTAATCCGACCTAACGCTAGAGTCATTCGCTTTACGAACTTTTTTCTAGCGACTGTATTTCTTTGCATTGATAATTAATAAAGGAGTAATAATGAACGATCATTTATTATTGTTCCTTCTAATATGAAAATTCTAGGTGATCGAGTCTTCATTTTCTCTGTTACATAGTGCGGAGTTAATCCATGAACAATTTTTTTTTTCAGCTTCTCCTTTGGGAAAAAAAATAAGGGAACTAAGCAGCTTGAACATATTTCCAGGCACACTGTCAGATCCAACTTTGTTTCCAAACCAAATGTGTGCACGATTTTTTACAGTGCAAATATCTGTTATTTAATCACCGCAAGGGTTACTTAAATAAATATTCCCCTGCAATCTTATAACATGAATACTGAAGACAATCCACCCCCTGAAAATAGCCCCCACCGGCTGAATTTTTTTTCATTGTGGGAGCGAGAGAAATGCAGAAAGTAAACAAACCACGAATCATAAAATGTAAAACAGATTTTAAAATATTGCAGTTTCAGTAATATCATGTGCTATTTATGGGATCACCTTTTGTTAATGTGATTTGTAATCTTTCAAAGTTGTATGTCCACAGGCCAGTTTAAAGTAAGTAGCATAGTAAAAATGTACCTTTCCATCCCTCCTGTTCTTGGTTATGTGTAAATGTGTATGTTAGGATTTAGAAATCATAGGAACTGTGTGCATAACACCCGTATACCTAGAGAAAAGCTCAAATTCTAATTTAATTTCTAATTTTAGACTCTTTGGGCAAGGGAAGCTATATCATTTGAAATACATACATAAATTCACCAATTCAGCAAGCGACATTTCCCTCCCGTAAAATAATGTCTGCATTTGAATGGTGCTTGCATACAGGCTGAGCAGTAAGACAGAAAAATAGATGAATTCCAAAGTGAGCTTTGTAATGAATTTTTAAATGAATTATTCCTTTCCATTTTATGCAATGTGATGTCTTCTCTTTAATTAGTGAAAGTTTTTCAGAGCAGGACTTTCTTTTAGAATCATAAAATCATAGAACACTAGAATGGAAGGAACCTCTAGAGGTCATTAAGTCCAGTCCTCTGCATTCATGGCAGGGTCAAGCACCATCTAGATCATTCCTGATAGATGTCTATGAAACCTGTTCTTAAATATTTCCAGTGATGGCGACTCTACAACCTTCCTAGGGAATTTATTCCAGTGTGTAACCACCCTTACAGGAAGTTAGGAAGCACTATATTTGCCCATTTCCAGTCTTCTGCAATCTCACCGGACTACTACGTCTTTTCAAAGATGACAGCTAAAGGCTCAGATACCTCCTCTATCAGCTCCTTGAGTATTCTAGGATGCATTTCATCAGGCCTTGGTGACTTGAAGACATCTAACTTTTCTAAGACATTCTTAACCTGCTCTTTTCCTATTTTAACTTCTAAACCTACCCCATTTCCACTAGCATTCACTATGTTAGGCATCCCATCACCATCAATCTTCAGTCTTCTTGGTGAAAACCGAAACAAAAGTCATTAAGAACCTCTGCCATTTCCAAGTTTCCTGTTATTGTTTCTCTCTCTTTCCTAAACAATTGGCCTACTCTGTCCTTGGTCTTCCCCTGGCTTCTAATATAGTTGTAGAATGTCTTCTTGTTACCCTTTATGTATCAACCGCTGATTACACTTCCGTCAACTCCGATACTCCAGTCATGAGGAGAAAGGGAAGTTGATGGGAGAGTTTTTCCTGTCAACCTCCTGCAATGGGGACATGGCAGAAATTCAAACAAAGGTACATTGAACTCCAGCTATGCTATTCACATAGCTAGAGTTGCGTAGTTTAGTTCAACTTTG